TGAGTAGATTCACTGCTTTACATTAAGCTAAGGTTTGGACTCTGAATTCTTTCCTTTAAATTAATAATACATCCTTCTAAGTGGGAGTTTGTCCAGAAGTCAGCTTCATCTGCCTACCGTTATTCTGCATCAACACGTGTAATCAGGAATAAAAATCCCCATGTTATGCATTACCTAATAACTTAATACACCACTTGGTTAAATGGTTTTCTGGCAGTATTTGCTTTCTTTCTACCTTTTCTCCTAAATGCTATCACAACAGATGAAATCCTTGATGTTCATATACATATAAAAATGGGTTCGCTTTCTAAAAGAACTGTCAAATCCTTATGATTGCCCTTTGGCAAAATCTGTGCGATGATATCCCTAACTAATCATTTGATATGAGAGAAGAATTGAGGTCTAAATAAAGATCCAACCTCATCTAGATGTTCTGCACAAAACTGCTATCAGTATTGAACAAGATTAGCATCTGCGTGCTTGGAGAAAATAGAACTATGAGAATAGCTAAATGTACTCAAATAACCTGGTAATTAAACAGTTAATCAAAAAAAAAAGAATGCAAATGAACTACTGCTAAGCTATCTACACAATCAGCTTTTCCCAGGGTATTTCTGAGGGCTTGTGTGTCAGCTGTGGCAGGAACATGATTTGAAGCCTATGATTACTATATATTGTTCTAATGATATCACACTCATGTAATGCTGAGAACAACAAAAATAAAATGAAACTATTTTCCACACTGGGCTTTAATAAATACTTTCAGCTAAAATAAAGCAGAATCTGCATTAATAAAGAAGTATAGATTGTATCATAGTAATGTTATGCCTGTCCCCAGGCACCACAGACAGATGGGGGGGAGGGCGCAGTTAGAGGCAGAGGGAGATGCAGGGGGAAAGTGATACGGGGCAGGCAGCAGAAGAGGTAGGGGCAACCATAGGATGGAAGGGGATGGAGGCAGGCAGGGGAGGCAAACGTCTGTCTCCTTGCCCCCCACCTTGCTCCACCCCTGCAATAATTAGATGGTATACATGGAAAACTATAAATGTGTTATAATTTATAATTTTCCATGTATAGAATCAATTATAGGGGGGAGGTGATCTAAAATGCAAAGTTTCTTTGGTTTTGGGTAAATATGGCAACTTAACTATTGGGAAATTTGCTTGCAGTTTGAAGCAGAGTTTCTATCACATTTGTGATAAACTGCTGGGCCACTGCAATTGTCTAAGTTTAGCAGAAAACAGAAGATGAATCTGAGGTAAATCATAAGCTTACTCATGAGTAAAACAGCCCAAATGTTAGAAAGTGATTTTTTTTTAAAGTTTGTCTTTGCTGCTGGCATTATTTGCTATTTCATATTGAGGAATTCTGCCATTATTTTTCCACAGATTATTCATACAGTTGCTGTAAGAAGAAAGGTTAGAAATAAACTTGAGGAAAAGAATACAAATATCTTTAAAGTACCAATGACTCACCAATGCATTTGCATTGTTCTATTTGGTGTGTTCTTTTGTCAATAAAATAAGATTTCAATGAAAAATTATAGGATTGATTTTATAAATATTTAATGGGTTAGTGAACTGGCTGGTGGCCCTTTGTCTACAGCATTATTAAAGCCATCAATTCCCCCAGGCATTATCCTAGCTCAGGCTTTCTGTATTCATGATTTTCACAATAGCTCATGTCAACAAAACAAGGGAGGTTTTTTTTATTAACATTATTGCTATCATCACAGAAACATGTCAGACTCCAACATCTAAATAATATAATCTCTATTCTATAGCTACATTAGTCCCTTAACTTCATGAGCACCAAACCTCAGAAATATTTGGAGGAAAATGAATATTTTTAAAGATCTAAGAAAGGTATTGAACAAAAGAATGAGATTTGCCATTTCATATTTTACCTTCCTAAAATCATGGAGACTAATTTTTTGGGTCAGATCATATAGCTGAGACTAATTCTCTATTTTCAAGAAGGACTCCAGTGTTCACCCAAGGTTTCCCTGAATCACACCTTCACTGGGCGACCAAACAATCTTTGGTTATTTTTGTTGAATATATGAGTTAGCCTGGTATCTCGTGCCTTCATGTTATATAAAACCCATGTCATTGGGAAATATTCTTTGGCAGAATTCTTTTTAATGCAAAGGACCCAATCCTGTGCAATATAGACTAAGCGTCGACCCATGTACCACTTTGGTCGAAAAGAATCAATTGTATGCTCAATGCCAAGAATTCAAATACTCTCTGCTTTATTAACTATCAGTATTTGCTAATGAGGATAAAATGTATTATGTACATTTCAAGTAGCGTTAATTATTAAAATAATTATTACTGTATCAGCACTACTTTGTACTGAGTTGTCTGTTCACAATATGTATGAGAAAAGGGTTAAAATGGGTTAAACAACTCTTATGGAAAGCACTATTCACATACAAATTCAGGAATATATTTCTTCTCCATAAAGTGTGACTTTTTTACAGTAATTATCTGCATTATTATTTGAATAAAGTCTTCACTGAAAAGCTAATTATTGTTACTTAATATTCAAAGCTATGATAGTAAAAAAAGCATCAGAGTTTAATCCTGGCAGAGTCACAAAATAAGCCAAAGTATAACATGATAAAAAATGTAGAAGGATTGGCCTAAGCAGTGAATGCAAATTACATGAAAAACACTTGTGAGAAAATATGGATTAATGCACACGCATGCATATTGCAAAAGTGTTTAAAATCTAATTAAAGTGTCTTCATAGTACCTTCACATTAGATCTTTAAGATCAACTAAGCCTCATTATCTCATTAACCTTCCTTTTGACTCCTCTGTAATACAAGTGTCATTATATTAATTAGCCATTATCCTGGCCTGTAAGTACTGACCATTGTGTCTGTATTTAGGAACATTACTGCTTAGATGTACAGATATAATTTATAGAAGTGCTGTACATCTGACCAGTGCTTAAAGCTTAATGCTGCCCCCTCCCCCATGTAACTGACATGCACATTCTAATGGTTTAAGCAGAACGCCATCTGATTTGATAATGCTGAAACAGATTAAATAATTATGCAAGTGAGTTTTACAGTATATAACATTGCCATTACATTAGATAGCATAGTAGTGTGAAGGCATTAAGCATTACATGTCAATTGAGTTTTTAAAGATTGGTGTTTTTTTTTAAACATAACCTAAAGCTGAAGAAAATTAAAAAGCATCCAGACTGGTGTCAGAAGGGGTCACTCCAGTGCTGACTGTTGGAGCAGCAGCTGTCTAGCCAGAGAAGATATGGACCTGTCAATTTGTATGGGAAGCTTTAAATTATCTGACAGTGGAAAGCAGTAGCACAGGCAGCTCTTCCCTTTTGCACCATGTACATATCTAATAATGTCTAAATGAATAATAAATAATAACATAGTACTGATGAACTAATCCTGTCATTTCACAGAAGTGTATGAAAACAACTAACTTTAGACATTTCATTTTTGTAAGCAAAACTTCCATCTATTTCAACAGTTTCGTCTCAGTAAAGAGGGATGAATCGAGTCCAAATGTCACGCATTTAGAACAGCAGTAGACAATTATTTATACTGTGGGAAAGCCCCTCATTATGTTAGACATCCTCTTAAGTTAGACAGTCTAGATGACACGGGCAAGGAAAATAATCTGGGCATCTGTATTTTGTATGAAGAGGAGGGACAAACGTATATTTCAGATAAAGCAAGGAAGGAGGCAAGCACAGCAGTCACCTGAGGAAATAGTGAGAACCTGGATGAGAATCATTTCTGCCTGGAAAAGGCGACAGGGGGTATTTCATATATGAGAGAAGAAGTGACAGGTTACGGACATAGCACTAATGGACATGAGGGATGAAATAGTACTAGTGAACAAGAGAGTTTTTCCTTAGTCAATGGTGCTTTCAACAGTAACAAAGAATGAAGGAACAGAGTTGATTTCAGAAGAAAAAGCAGGCATTTAGCACAGCCATCCAGATATTGGAGCCACTGGTTTCAGAAACTCAGCTAGAATAGGGGAGCAGTCTCTGAATCAAAACTTTCTCAGCTTCTTAATCATGGAAACTGCAATGGGACAGAAGCAATGTAGGGGACAATTCTGGACTCTCCTCCTCAGCATCTGCCACGGTGTGAAACATGCTACTGGGCAAGATGCATCTATGTTCTTCCTCAGTAAATGATATTTCTTATGTTCTTATGTAACAGAGAAAGGAGGTAAAAAGAAAAGAGCCTGGTGGAACCCCCAGGTATGGTTTGACAGGGGAAGTGGATGACTAACAGAAATCATTTGAAAGAAAAATCAGAGAGGTAGGGGTTTTGCATGTGTGAACAATATAAGATAGGCTCCTTTATATCCTTACAAAGGCCTTGAATATGTTATCACTTTTAACAATCAGAAGCCTAAATTGGTGCTCCTAAAACCATATTTAGGCACCAATGTAGGTAGCCTGATACTGAAGTTAATAAGCAGCCAGAAAGTCTCACTGAGATTTATGACAACCTAGTACTTTGGACTCTTGTCTGGAAAATGAGTTTAAGTATCATGGAAACTGAAAATATTACAAACATTTTCACTTTTTTTTTTTTTGGCAAAGCAAGAGAGCTAGAAAAGTGTTGTTCATAGTTCATGCAGTATAATAATTAAATTTCTATTCAAAGCAACTTTTTTCTCATAAATACTTATTGCTCTACAGATGGCATGCTAACAATGCACAATACTTAACGGTATTAAGAGTTCAGAATATAGAGCAAATAAACTGTGGACCTGTCTTATTTTTTTAAATACGTATTATTTATGTATAACTACAAATGCTATTACATTTTGTTTTTCTGCAAGCTTATTTATAGAAGGCAAACTATTAATGAAAATGTATTACCAGCATCTGCGCTTATGTTTACCAATTAAGATAAAATTTAAAAAGTGAACAAGGCTACCGAATAAAATCCAGCCATTTTCCTATGAGCTGGTAATTAGAACATCTTTCCTTACCATTCACTTGGAGAATATGAGTTTGATACAGTTTATCATAACCATCAGCATAGCAGGTGTAATTTCCCATGTGAGTAGTGGTAACCTTAGTAATGTACAAGGACCCATCATC